TGATAACGTAGTCAAGCCAAAAGCTAATCATATTAATTACTGTTATGTGTCCGATGTCGTTGAAAGCGATTCATAAAACACATTACTATTCTGATACATCGACTTGTAGATGACCCTGTATGAGTGAGTGGAGACGGGCCTCATTTACATATTCATGGATCCCCACGTATACTAAATGAAGCAAGGCTGTAGAGTTACATTCAAGCTATTTTATTTCACAGGAAAAAATTGTTTAAATATGCCATTTTGATGTTGAGAATATTTGACTACAGGGGGACTTTAAGCTATAGACAGTATGGTTGGTAATTGCATCTTGTATATTTGGTGCACTAGTGAGCAGACATGGAGTTGTTTGTGGTGCTCTCGATAAGAGCACGATATCTCGATAAGATAATTATATTGTTGGCGGACTATGGTTTAAAACAGGCAATAAAACCTTTTTTTGTTAATGTGACTTGTAGACGGCAAAAAGTCTGCAACAACACAGGAAAGAACATTGTGAATAGGCCTGACATCACTTGCAGTGTCCAGAAATAGTCAGAGAAGCAAACAGAAATGATGGATATGAAGAGAAATTATGTCGCTGATAAAAAAAAGCTGCAACAGTAGGGAGGCACCGATGCCACTTTTTCCAGAATGAATCCGATACCTGTATTTTCACTGCATTTGTAATTTTTAAATATATTGGGTAGAGAAACCAAAAGAATATTAATCATATTAGTTAGTTGGCTTAATTTGTTTAGCAAATATAGGCTATATTTCCTTCAGTTATTTTCATGCTAATTAATCCTGATAAAATGTATTGTATGGGCTTCTGTTATTTTCACTGTTCATTTTATTGCTCTATCATATTTAATCTTTCATTTACTAGTACAGTGCATATTTAGAGCTGCAGCAGGGCTCAGTGCTAAGGATTGGGTCAGTGTATAGGGGACATTTAATATTCAACAATATTATTGATCTGCCTTAAGGTGGACGATGACGCAATTTTCTTCTAGAAACAAACTTTGTTGTATTATTTTCATGTTATCACTGTGAAGCTGCTTTGATACAATCTGTATTGTAAAAAGCGCTATATAATTATAAATAAAGGTGACTTGACTATATAGCACTGCATATTTATCACTGTATAAATTAAATACAGATGGAATTTTGTAAAGTTACAAAAGTTATTTAGTCAAGAGCAGTGAGTGATTTATTTGTCCTTTGTTTGATTTACATTAAAAACACAGCAGCAGGTTTAATAGCTGCTGTCCCTTTAAGACCAATCCCATGGATCGCATTTGAATATACCGACTTTGTTTACTTGAGATATAACCGACTTTGTTTACTGGGATACTCGTCAAGAGAGGTGTTTAACAGCCAGCAATCAAGAGCATGTAACAGAAGTTCTCTCTCTCTCTCTCTCTCTCTCTCTCTCTCTCTCTCTCTCTCTCTCTCTCTCTCTCTCTCTCTCTCCTCTCTTTACAGTCAGTTAACGTTAACAAAGTGGTGGGATTTCCCATAGGCTTTTGGATTATCTCTAAAAACAAGCTCTGTGACCAACAAAAGTTTATGATACTTGCACGTTTTGTCCATCAAGATAGTTATCACAGATGAACACAACTTTTATGAATTTTGAAGCCTAAAAAGGCTAAAGGTAGGCTTTAAACGAACTACACCACGGTCCCACGAATTCAGAAGATGGAACCGGAAGTGCTAAAATGCTAACTCGGTTCCGTGGTTTGGCCTTCAAAGTGATGTCGTACCTGCACCACTCTATACATACCGTACCTCTTTTTACTTTCTTTGCCATTGACACATCCGACCGAACTACAAACTTTCTGCTGATGTGATAATGGGATGTGCGCTCGACAAGCTTGCGCAACTGTTCCTCTGTGCCGTTTATCAGCTCTCCCACCACAGCTATATAGGCGTTACTATATTTTGTTTAATATTCCACTAATTAAATACATTTACTTTAGTCAAGTCAAGTCAATGGGTCGTGATGGGTCAGTAAATGACCCATCATACCACTGATCAGCTCTACCAAACTTGGATGTCTTTTCCAGTAATAAACAAACACTGTTAAGTTGTTTTGATTGATACTGTGAAGCAGCTTTGATACAATCTGTATAGAAGCCTTCTTTTTTCCCATTACATACTCTGTTATTAGTGTTTCTTTGTCTGGACACAAACACTGTACACATGCTGCGTGGTATCAGTATCGGTGCATCCCTAAAAAATAACCTTTCTGGGAGCGTCCATTCAAGTACTTAATGAATATATGTCAATTTTCCAGCTGATTACAACATGTAAAGTATTTTATGCATCTACCTTTATTTTATATTAACTTTTATTATTTTCAAAGAAATATTATTTATTTATATTATTATATTTATTATTTATTATAGTTACAAAATGTCATACAATTTTGATTCTTTGTTAATGATTAAAGGTGGTTATAATGAAGTGTTTCCAATATGTTGGAAATAAGTCCAATATATTCCAATATAAGTCATGGGCCGCTGTTGGTTGATGCCACAATCTAAACTTTGATATTAACATTAAATATGAACAACAAGCCTAGTTTCTAAACTTTGAAAGTAGTTTCCCAATGCCTACATGTTTTGTTTTTTTGTTTTTTCCAATGCCTACATCTTTTGAATAGTAAATGTATTGATGTAAGTCTTTAAAAAAAAACTTAACTGGTACGTAAATGTTAAACTAGAACACTGCTGTGGTGATGAGTGATATGAAAATGCCTTTGCCTCTGGTCAAACTTGACAAGCAGGATTTTGTTGTCTGCCACTTTAGTTCTATTTACAAATGGACAGAGGTAATTCCTTAAAAGAAAATTGTAAAGATGTTGTTTAAAGCAGTGTTTCTTTCTTCAAGTTTTCCAAATAGCTAGATCTATCATGGGATTTAGAACAATTTACAGTCAGTCATGTAATATAAAAATGTTCACATGACAGCACAGCAGTATAATAATATAATAAAATAGAGTTAAATACCTTCTGAAATTGTTGTTGTAGTGATCTTGATAAACATTCATGAGCTCCATCCTTAGCAAGAGAATCTTTAACTGAGTCTGTAACCTAGTCTTGTTAGGTGAGAAAATGAAATGTCAGAGCACACTCTTTAAACCACACCTATTTACCGGTACATTCATTCTTTCCCTGGACAATAGCTTTTTTGGACTTTGCTCATGTGACCCAACAAGACAGAATATATTGCAAGTTGTGTTGCCTTTTTACAGCACTCATATCTGGTTTTGCAATCCATCTGAAGATTAACATCTTTAAGTGAGGATTGAGTGTGTTTTTGGTTTATGCTTTTCTTAATCCTCTATCTATATTATAAAATGACAGCTGAGCCGGTAATTAGATAATTGCTTGTGAGATTGTGTAATTTAACTATAGTAACGCAACTTGTAATGCAACTTGATGTCTTTGCGTTTCTGTCCAGACTAGATTCACTTCCTCGAAAGGTGGAGACCAGAGCTCGAAGGATTCTTTGAAGGATTTATATCATGTTTTTTTTAAAGCAATGTTTGGAATAGCTACAATGCTACTTTGGCACTAGCCTATTCACTTTCTACCACTCTGTCTCTCCTAAACACACTCCGACACCTCTATGTGTGTGTGTTTAGGAGAGACAGAGTGGTAGAAAGTACATATTTTCATTTTATCCCATTTTTTCTCATAATAATCTTTGTTTTGTTGTGGTTATTTCGCTGCTGGCTGTATGGCTCTACAAAATATATAAATAAATTGTGGTGACATGATATGGAACTGTATTGCTTTCCAGACCTGGAGTTACTTTAAAGTTGTGCAGTTATAGAAAGTTATGAGTTGTAAAGTTACAGTATGCATCAAAAGTGACACCGTGACATTGGCAGAAGTGCATAAATATTAGTTAGTTAGTTATAGTTAGTTACCACAGTCATAGTTGACACCGTGGCAATGGCAGAAGTGCATATATATATATATATATATATATATTAGTTAATTATAGTTAGGTACCACAGTTATAGTTGACAGGATAACTTGTGGTGTTTCGTGTGAATGTACCATCGTTTGTTGCACTGTCATTATTAATCAGTAAACTTTCAGTAAAGTGAGTACATGTCAAATGATTTGTAAAAGCAAAACAATAGTGACACGGTAAAAGCACTATTAATCAAACTTGTGTGTTGTGACATTACTGTTGGATTCAATATAGTTGGCACTCCATCAACTTTTATTTGATGAAAAGCCTGCGTTGAACTGTGTCTTGTTTAAAACCGATTCACCAGTATGAAAATGAACGGTGTCTTACTGATGCAATCTGGAATTTTCGTAAAACTAAAGTTCAGGATGGCAATGGAAAGACTGATTTGATTTCCACAACTTTGCACTGCAAAAGGTCTTGTAATCCTCAGATGTATCCTTTGTTTGTGAATCTCTGGTATTTACTCACCTCCTACATGGCAGGCGAGGCTAAAGAGGTGCAGAAACCTTCTAGTAATCATTCTAGTCAAACCTGTTACTGCTCCTAATCAATGCTCCATGTGCAATGAAACCCATCTTCCCTTGTGACAAAACTGCATGGAAGAAAATCCCATAATGGCAAAAGAATTCCCAGGCTGTTGGAAACAATGTCTCCATGACCATCACAAACGTTCTCAGCTATGGATTTAAACATGCAGCTCTTTTAAGACCGAGTGGGGTACCACCCTAAACCTGGGGGGAATGGGCCGGTTCAGAACTTGTTCGTTTCATTTCTCTAAGTGGTTTTGTGGGACAACAACATTCATTCATTCATTCATTCAAAGCACACAGCAGATGCCTCCCATCCTTTGTTTAAATTTTGTGTTCTTGTTTGTTTGATTGTATGTCCCCCCCCCCCCCCCCATGCATACACAGAATGCCATATCTTTTGATTGTTTGAATGTGACTTGGTCAATGTAAATGTGAATATTTGCCTCTTTATTTGGAGTCAGCATTTTTTTAAATTGGTTATTTCAAAAATTTTAGGAAGTTGGCAGAATGAAGATAGAGCTTTTTGCTGACATTGTTCCAAAGACTGCAGAAAATTTTCGGTAAGAAGATTCCTCAATCCATTTATGTATAAACACTAGAAAACACTCTGCGTGTGTGCTATGTAAAATGTTTAGGCCTAACCCTTTTCTTTACTACTTGCATGGCAATTTATTGGTTCTTCTAAATGTAAGTTCTAGATTTTGGTTTATTTGTGCCAGTTTACATGTGAATCTGTTTTTCTGTCTTTCAGGCAGTTCTGTACTGGTGAATTCAAGTAAGTCAGTCTCAGATTTCAGTGGGTTAATTAAGGGTTGTTCTACTTTAACCACATGTATGATTGAACGTATATTACCACATACTCATATTACATTTTTCTTTTATGTGTTATTGTGACTGATGCTTTTGAGTATGTTCAAATCATGCTATAAGAAACATGTGCTGGATAAGGCTACAGATTAAACGGCTCTTTCTCTTTCTGGTTTTGTTGATTTGCATGTATTTTGACCATGTGCTGCTTTTGTCCAATGTAGGAAGGATGGAGTTCCCGTGGGCTATAAAGGCTGCACATTTCATAGGTGAGACACTTTACTTGGTATTGCTCACAGATACAAAATTAACAAAAATGTAGATTGCAAAATTTATTAGAATATTCACTACTTAAAAAGCCATTGCTGTCTCACAAAACAAAACAAAAAACACGTCAAAAAACAGAATGAAGTTTTTGGCAGAATAAGGAAAGTTGTGTGTGGTGCATGGTGATGCTCCAGAGAGCTGTCTTTAAAAAAATCTGCTGAGAAATATAATAATAAATGCATTTCTAGCTAGGTGAAGCATGGAGGAAGAGTGTGGGGAGCCTCTTTAGCTTCTGGTATTGGTGAGTTGCTTCACTGTGAAACGTCATTTAATACTTTGGAGTATGGAGAATATTGCAGAATGGCTTGCTTCCCACAAATGAAAAGTTATCTAAAGAGGAATGATCAGATGTTATTTTTCAACAAGACAATGCTCCTGCCCAAATTGCAAAGACAACCAAGAAGTGGCTTGAGAACAAGCCCATCAGGCACATGTTTTGGCCTGGTCAGAGTCCAGATTTGAACCCTATTGTGAATATTTGCTCTCAATTTATACTCAAACCAACTGGGAGACAATTTTTCAATGTTTTTTTAGTTGTTTTTTTTGCCAACATATTGTAGAAATTCAGTTATTATAGGTACTGGCCAAGCTATTACTGTTGCTCATAATTAGAATTAGAAGTTTGTTCAAATCCATACTTCTAAGTATAAAGCTTTGGCTTTTATTTTTATGTCCTGCAGACAGTATTCAAATGTTTAGTATTTTTTTCATTGATCAAAGTTTCAATGCAAATACACCTTGAATGATGTTTTGCAATTCAAAACAGTACTATGATATTGTCGTTTTCAAGTCACGCTTAAGTTGAGTCAATTGTCAGGTGGTGAACATGATAGACCAAAATAATCAGAGGGCCAGGAGTGTCCAACTCAGTTCCTGGAGGACGGCCGCTGTCCTGCAGAGTTTTGCTCAAACCCCATTTAAACACACCTTAACCAGCTAATAAAGGTCTTCAGGATTACTAGAAACTTCCAGGCTGGTGTTTTGGAGTTAGACTCTGCAGGACAGTGGCCCTCCAGGAGTGGAATTTGACACATGTGTCCTAGGCTATTGTTGGGGACAAAACCGTTAAAGACCCAGGACCAGATATGATGAATGAAGACCCAGAGTCAGAAGTTCAGTCAATTGAAGACAATTTTAGATACTAGAAAATTCTATAACTACATACATCTCATAAGCTTAAAGAAGTAATTCAACTCATTTGAAAATTAGAAGGAAAAATATTGATTAATACCTTGATTATAATCACTCAATTGATATGCATTGAAGCGGCAGTGGATTCCAGAATCCACCCCCTTCAGTCCCCTCTTAACCCTTTAAGTGTCACCCCCCTTTTTTTGAATATACATGAAAATGCACATTTCAAACTTAAATGGTTGTAATTCAAGAATGCTTTAGAATATAGACGTAAGATTGGTCTCGTTTTAAAGAAGACATTTGGTAGATTTTTGTAGAAGTGAAATAAATTAAGAAAGTGAAACAGAAAAAAAGTTATAGAAGTTTGAGTTTATGAAATGTACAATGTAAAAAAAAACTAATTATTCATATTTTATAGAAAATATATATTTTCGAAACCTGGGCGAAACCTCTAAAACTGCAACAAAAAAAAAATCAAAATCAAAAATCTGAACAAGTTGTGTTTAAAATTTTAGGTTGATATCTCAAAAAATGAGTTTTCAGTGAGATTTTGTTTGGGCGCAGTACCAAACTTTTTCACTAGATGACAACCAGACTCCATTACTGCCCATATAAGGGCGCCTCCATTTCCAAAAGTTTTTTGAGTGATATGAACCATTATTTCCACAATTTTCATACAATTTATGAAGTAGACATCTATTCAGAAGTAATATGAGAAGTTTGGCAGATTTTGATATGAATTCAACCTCTAACAAACACAAAAAGAACAAGTATGTGTGTTAGAGCTTCCTGCCACATCACAAATAGTGAATCTATAATTTTTTTCTTTATCCACCGTATTCCTACTTCCCATGACGCTTTGCGCGAATTATGGGTGTAACTTCCGTTAAGCTGTAAACAATCAGTGAAAGGCTCGCTCTATGAACGAAAAAGTGTCACAATGAGATGACATTAATCGACTCACCCTTCAACCATCGAACATTAAAATTAAATTTAAAAGTTTAAAAGAATCAATAAGGTACTTTCAACAGACCAAAAATAGCCCCAAAAGCGCAAGTCTTTGGTTAAACATCACAGGCAAATATATCTGTAGCCTATTGTATAACAAGCCTTAATCAAAAATGTTCATTAACTTCAGCATTACGTGACACGATATCAAAGTGATTTCCGTCATTTTGACAGATTATAAATTGCATTTACGTGTGAAAACAAACCTGGAAAGAGACGTGAGGATTTGAGGAGAATAACGAGAGATTCTAAGTGCATTCCAGTGAATTATTAATGGAATATCGTAAATTAAATTCGGGAGAACAGACCACTAATGTGCCGTATATGTTGTCCTTTTTCATACTTTTATAGCGGATTGCAAAGGAAAAAATAAAAATCATCATGAGGAAAAGAAAGCAGCGACTGAAAAGAGCTCTTTCCATAGATATTCTTGTTATAACATGTCACATTAAAATACCAAGTATAACGTTATTCTCATGATGTCTGAAAATAAATCATGAAGGAAAATTAACAGCTCATCCAGTCAAACTGACGGATCAGCTTTATTTGTAGGGCAACCTTATGATTTGAAATGATTCGTTTCAGCCTTTTTGAATGGAAGTTCCCCAAACCGGAAGTGCCACCCATAATTCAAAACGCAGTAAGGTCGTCAGGAATAAGGTGGATATTTAAAAAAAAAAATCAGACCTTTTTTTAAAAAAAAAATTGAATGGATGCTATCTTTTGACCTCTTGGCATGAAAACAAACTGAGGTTTCTACCCTTCTTTCATGATTTTTCATGTTCATCACTATTTCAAAATAAAGGTCTAAACACGCCTCAGGAGTAGGAAAATATTCTTGTTGCAAATTGATAAATTATGGCTCCTCTGTAATTCATTTTGAAAATCAATCACCAAATATGGAAACAAGAGATTGTAAGCTTTCAAATGATATATAGTATGTCAAGATTAGTTTAGGTTTAGTATAGGATATTACTGTTTTAAAAATGTAATGGATTTGGGCCCACCGGTGGGCCGGTGACACTTATGCCTCGTTTCCACTGAGCGGTACGGTACGGTACAGTTCGGTTCGGTACGCAATTATTTGCGTTTCCACTGTCAAAAGTTGTGAATGGTACCAAAAAGCCGAACCGTACCGTACCACTTTTTGGGTACCCTTCCGTTGTGGTACCTAGCACAGTGGTACGGTACTAAAAGGTGGAGCTAGACTCACTGCAGAACGGTGATTGGTTGACAGAGTATCGTCACTTGCGCGTGCTACAAGGGCATTAGAAGCATACAGTTAAAATATAATACTACTGTTATTGTGTCACGAAATGTAGTTTTAAGAGTTTTTCAGGCGAGAAAGTAGTTTTTTAAAGCTCAAATCTGTGGTTTATTTATAGATTTATGACAATTTGAAGATCCATTCCAAGCAATCACCGGGTGCTCGGCGCTCGTGCACCCCGCCTGGAGCAGCCTTTCCCCGGCTAGCCGTTCTGATGTTTGCCGCTGACTCTGACGTCTCTGTAGTGGTTAAACATGAGATATAATTCGCCTTGTACAGACCTAACAGGCGATCTTTGGTCTCGTGAATTTATAATTCGTTCCCTGGCCAATAGTTTTGGCAGAAGGCTAAGTGAAGTTTCATATATTTGAGCGCTGAATTTGTATATTTGACTGAATTGTTTGCTTTGTTATTAAAGCTTTACTGTATATATTTTTGTACCTTTTACTTATACTTTTATAATGGCTATTATTGATAAAACTGAAATTCAACAAAAATTGATAGTTTTGTCATTTATTTTATTTTATTACAAGATCATCTGTAATGTTGTTTATTGCAACATTTGCACCAATGCAATATGCAATTCATTGCCTGGAATATGTTTAATATTTTTAAATTGAAACGAAAAGAGGCAGGATTGTGTTTTATATTTAGTTTTGTTATAAATATAACGTTACATGCAGTGAATATAATCAATATAGGCTATGCGTTGCCTGAACCACATTTGTGTGCTTATAATGTTTAAAATGTATTTAAATTAAATCGAAAAGAAGCAGAGTGGTGTTTTATAACATATTTCGTTTTATTGTTGCCTAAAATGTACATAACCGGAGTAGCAGAGCGAGCTGAGTGGCGCTTTCAAGAACACGCTGTTCCATCAGCAGAATTACTGGACTCGCGTCCTCGGGATAATTCTCCTGAGTCGGACTTTGCGTAGGCTACTTGGTATTGAGAAACGCCTAATGCCAGCGCTTGTTTCTTGTGACAAACATCCCGAGAAGCAAGAACAAGATCTGCTGTCTGTCATCATCCATTGTTGTTTACTATGTCGTTTTTGTTCGCGCGAAAATGACGTCGATCGCTTCTTTCCGGCAAACACCACGCCTATCAAGTGACATTATCACTACTTTCCGGCATACACCCACGCCTATCAAGTAGGGTACTGTTGGCAGTGGAAACGCGAGCCCCGATCATGGTTTAGCGACCCGACCCGAACCGTACCGTACCGTACTGAACCGTACCGTACCACTCAGTGGAAACGAGGCATTAGACCAATTTGGGGTCCTAAACACTACATCTGGTCTACCAATTGAGGCTGCTTCAAAATTTTAGATGAATGCTCTCTCCTGGAGCAGGACTTTTTTTTTGTTGTTGTTGTTTTAAACTATGATTTCCAATTTATTATACAATACAACAAGATGGATTTATAAATCCACTTCGTTCACTATGTAAAGGATCTACTGAAGGCATGTTGTAGAGAGGAACCCAAGTGCAGTTTATTACAAAAAAACTAAACATGAGACAAAAACATGGTGTGGCATGAACTCAAAACAAAAACGTGACGCTTACCAACAGTGGTTACAGGGAAACAAAACTTGACAAAGACACATGGCAAACATGAGGGCTTAAATACACACAAGACTAATGATAAGACAAGGGACACCTGTGAACAATGAACCAATTACAACATGACACATCAGACAAGGGAACACATGGCAGGATCACATGATAAACAGGGAATCGCATGACAAGACAAAGAAACATGACAATGACATGAACAAACCAAACCGTGACACACTACACCCCTTACAGACCATTTTCAGGTTCAAAACACAATAATGGTCTAACTAAAAATAAACTGCGAAAAAATAAGACAAACCCATAATATTCCATCTAAGCACTTTAAGTCTTGTGAATGCATCCTACATTTTACAGTTTACAGACATATAGCATGTACCATATTGATTTCAGAATATCGTATAATTTACCAAATTCACATCATCATTCCAATCATTATTTCCACTAAAACTTAATAACCCTTTTTTGCTAAGCTTTCGTTTCACCACAGACCCATTTACAGTCATTATAGCCATAAAATAGAACATAAATGAACAAACTTTGTTAATGTTAAAACATTTCATCAAAATGACATTTGTATCAAAGCATATAAATTCAATAATAGTAGCTTGTTCAGCACTTATCTTTACATTACTGTTAATGATAGTCAATACCGAATTATTTTTAATCTAAAACTCACTTTTCATAGAATTTCACAGTACTCAGACCATGTTGACTGTACAACATTCAAAATCAAATAATTAGTGCTTTCTGTAAAGTAAATTTTTTTCTCAATGTCTTGTCCGTTAAAACTCCTTAGGTGCCATCTACAAATGACCAAAATCTTAAACCCCTTCGTTCATTTGTGTCATTTGGCAGTAATATTTCAAATATAGTACATCATATATATATATATTAAAAAACTGCCACCGTCACCAATAGCATCCAGCTGCAGACCCGCAGCACCACCAGTTTCAGAACCCCAGCGCCAGGACCGGAAGTGAGGGGCGGAGCTTACGTTCTAAACCGAGTAACGTCGTAATTTGCTTAGACACCAAACGGCATGCTTTTATTACACACGAGACGTCATACTTGATACGTGTGTTATGATACATTAAGGTACAGTACAATAAGCATTTTAAAACATTGATTTTGCGTAATATAATTGTATATAGTTATCCGTTTCATTGTATTATGAGAGTTACTTCCTGATCATGATGGTGAAAAATAATGCTTGACACTTATGGGCATTTTATATAAAATATACTTTATTTCACAAGAACATGTGCAGCTTGCATTTCTCTTTATGTAAAATAATGTCAAAAATCTAAAAAAAGAGAGAGAAAATTCGGCATTGTTTTAAAAGAAACAATAAAAATGTATACAACATGACCAATTCACCCCTAGGCCCATTTTATCATGACAATCCTGTATACATTTAACTTACAATGTATCAAATGAGGAACTCACTCTCAGGTCCATTTTGTCCTTACATTCTTGCAAAAATAACTATAATGCAATAATAATAATTCCGCAATAACCCTCACTTCCGGTTCTGGCGCTGGGGTTCTGAAACTGGTGGTGTTGCGGGTCTGCAGCTGGATATATCTCACCTTCACAGCCCTACTCAGATCGAGTCTCTGTTACACTGGCAGTTTCAGCCACAGCACATCAAGTCATGGTGGGGGCCAGATTCAGATAAGTGAATTGTTTCATTACAGCCAAGCACAGGCTTATCTTTTGAAAGCAAAACATCTCTGACCACATCGAAAACATTCTATGTTATCTAGAGCAGCAGACGCTTTGCCTATAGTTTGATCATTAGCCGCGTTTCCACTGCCGGGCCAGGGCTAACAGCGAGCCGAGCCGAGCCGAGCCAGTGGCCTCGGGCCTCAAGCTTGCGTTTCCACTGCCGGGCCAGTAGCCCCGCAGCGCTGCCCTAAACCCCGCCCCTAACACGCCTTTCTGGATCAAACGTCATACAACCCAACCCATTTCAGCGGGTATTATGAATTTATTTATTTTTTAAGTTAGGAAGATAGCATGTATATTAACTCACCGGCCGTGGCTGCAGCCTGCAATAGTGTCCAGATTGTCTCGCGAGTCGCCACTAACAGAGGGCAGTGACCCAGCACACCGTCCATCAAGTCGAACCATGGAATTTGGAAAGTTCCTTCTCTGAGCTCCGCTTTGTCCATTGTGCGTTTGAATCGCCTTGTACAATACTGCGCCCGCAACTTTTTTTTTTCTGAACTTGAAGCGTTGCTCGCTGAATGCTTGAATGCTTAGCTTAGAAAGTTCAGCATCGATGAATTTTATAACGTCTTCGTTTCTTCACACGCCGTCAAATTGACGTTGTACCCTTTCTTCTGCCCAAATGCTTAGCAGAGCTTTGGTATCTTCGACAGACCAGTACAGGCGATTCACCATTTCGAGCAGCGATTATTTTGCGCGATATAAAAAAGAAATGTGCATCTTGCTTCAGATCATAACGTTCCATAACACCGATAAACTCCGCCTTTTACCTTGACCACGCCTCTAGCCCGAGCTGGCCCGCTTTGGCCCAAAGTATTCGACGGGCCAGAAATCCTGGCCGTTGGCCCCGAGTAAGCCCCGATCAAGCCCCGGAAGTGACAGTGGAAATGCGACTGGCTCTGGCACGCACTAGCACGGCTCGGCCCTGGCCCGGCAGTGGAAACGCGGCTATTGTGAGCTTGTAAACGGCTCCAACTTACAGCACACCGTCAAATCAGTGTGTCGCCATTAGGAATGTATGCAGTGCCACTGACAAGCAGTTCTCTGTATACTTTTGACAGTCCTCCGGTGGCGGATTCAATCACAATAGCCGAATCATTATCCTCTTCACTATTATTAGCAGCACAGTCATTTTCATACGCTGTACGGAAACGCTTAACATATTCTAAGGGGTTTTCACCAGATTTTTGTTTAACTTGCGTCACACTTGCCTCCAGGGAAATGATCCCCGACCTCCGAGGTCACAGAACTACGTTTCTAGGCACCAGCATATCGAAGAAAACAAGTCATTTCATCTCCCCAGGGTGCCAGTTGTCCACTCTACCAATACAGGACCTGTAACCGAGAATACTAGAACACACACAGATACACAGGATACACGGCTTCTCCAAGGGTGGGGTTGGTTGAGCTCTAACTATAAACAATATTCAATTATTCTTATTCTCTAGTTTGAATAGTGAAAAGTGATGCTTTAAGTCTACGTGGCCCTGTGACCTCCACTGTCTTGGTCAGCTAGAAGAGTAAATTTGTTTTAACATGTTTTATGTGCCCCTCAAAAATATGGAGAGTGCACATTCCATTAAACAGACATTTAATTCTATAACTACATAAATCGCATATGCTTAAAGAAGTCATTCAACTCATTTGATATTTAGAAGGAAAAATATTGCACCTTGATTATAATGACTTATTCGATATACATTGAAGCGGCAGTGGATTCCAGAATCCACCACCTTCACTATATTACCTCTAGATCAGAAATTTATAGCGAACAATATAAATGTTAAATATCACAATCAATGTAATAAATATAATGACAAGAAAATCACAATTACATCATATATTTACTGGAGTGCCCCTGTTGCTGCGTACATTACATTAAGTGTACGATATCACAAAAACTGTTTAAAATCTCACAAAAATTGCCTATGTTACTTTTAATTTTCAACCTGCTAGTAAATCATTATGTCCATCACACTAATTCTAATGTATGTTCTGTTCTTTTGGTAGGGTGATAAAGGACTTCATGATTCAGGGTGGAGATTTTGTCAATGTAAGTTTTGCCTTGTGATCCAGACAATGGAGTTGAATTCATCTTAACAGGTGTTTCGCTTGTTTGACAGTATAGAAGATTGTTTTTATATGCAAACAATGTTTGCACTCTGTGTACTGACTGCCATGCATGACATCCATCAAATCAAATAACGATGTGTCCTTATAGATAGGAAAATAAGGTAAATAAGGATGTGCCCTTATATTTGCAGTAATCCAGCTTTTGTATTTGTTTGATATTAATTTCCCATTAATACACAAGCAAACTATTTCTGACATTGTATAGATCAAGGAAGAGCTGATGTAAAAAAACATGTCAGGTTTAAATTAATTTAAAATCAATATACATTAATTTTTATGTTCTGACATGGCAAATTCGTTTTACATTTTCACTTTATTTCTTAAACTAATACCAATTTTTTTTAGATTTTAGGGTTGAGCAAGGCCAACAACAAACAGAAATAACTAGCTTTCAAAACTAAATTACCTGTAGCTCAAACATTGTAGATGTGCATGGCACTAGCAACGCCAAGGTCATGGGTTCGATTCCCATGGAATGCATGTATGGATAGAATGTATACCTTAAATGCACTGTAAACCACTTTGAATAAGCTGCTGAATAAAGAAAAATACTATATGCTCCCTATACAACCCTAAAGCAAGAATAAGCATTATATACATCCACTAAAGTTTCCCAAGTCAGATTAATATTTCCAAAAGTTGTTTTATTTTACACTCAGTCAGTGCAGACAGGTAGATCAGTGGATCTGCCAAAAGTGCACATTTTGTATGCCTCCCTTATCTGCAGTTTCCTACGGCCCATGACTCTTTGCGTGAATTATGGGAGTAACTTCTGTTAAACTGTAAACAATCAGCAAAATAGTTGCTCTATAACGCAATGCGCATTTTCAAAAGCGGAGTACAATGAGATGATATTCTACTCAACCGTCGAACATTAAAAGGACATTTTAAAAGACCCCTGATTATTTCCACAGCAATATTACAGACATTAAATATCGCTGTATAATATACACTGAACAAAATTATAAACGCAACACTTTTGTTTTTGCCCCCATTTTTCATGAGCTGAACTCAAAGATTTAAGACTTTTTCTATGTACACAAAAGGCCTATTTCTCTCAAATATTGTTCACAAATCTGTCTTAATTTGTGTTAGTGAGCAGCTGCGTTCACAATACAAAGCGACTTTATCGCTGCAGGTCGCCAGTGGCTGCGCTGGAGGGCGTTCCCACTACTGGATGCCTAGTAATGTTTGTGAGTCACATTCACGGATGTTACTCTATGTTAGACAACAAATACGTTTTCTTGCCGCTACAAACAAATATTTCGGAAGGAAAAGTCTAAATATAAATGGAATCCGTACATAAAATGCATAATATTAAAGATGAATGAGAAACAGTGAGTGCTCTTTGCCATCGCGGCTATTTAACTGCAGAAAACCGGTCTATCTGGGTTCCCGAAACCATTCAGGCACGGAGTCAGTACGGTGAATACCACTGTATGTACACGGAGATATATCATAAATAATAGGACAGTTTCTGACTGCTAAAACGACCTTCTCGTTCAACTTGCCTCGGTCAGACTCAGCACTGAAGAGTGACGCGCTCCACTGACTTCACTCCTATTGGTTGTCGCTCCCGAAAGTCGCTCTGCATTTGCATAAAGTTAAACAGATCTCAACTTTGTCGCGTCGTCAGACACGCCCCATCCAGTCGCAACCGCGCGTGTCGCCGGAAGTCGCCCGCTCTCACCATTGAAAATGAATGGTATCGTGTCGCGTGTAGTGTGAACGCAGCTTTCTCCTTTGCCGAGATAATCCATCCACCTCACAGGTGTGGCATATCAAGATGCTGATTAGACAGCATGATTATTGCACAGGTGTGTATTATGTAACACAAATATGCCTTGTATGTATTATCCCTTAGTCAAATATGTTCTTTAACTGGAACATTGAGTGACAATAATTCAAAGTGCTCTCCGTCATTGTGACGGGCAGTAAATATTTTATGTACCTGCTTTAGAAATATAAATGAAAAGGGGGGACAATTACATTTTAAAGCATCCGTGTGAAAACAAACCTGGAAAGAGACGCTTGAACATGAAGGAACTTTTTCATTTAATTTAGTCAAACTGACGGATAAGGATTATTTGTAGCACAACCTTATGCTTTATAATGATTTGTTTCAGTCTTTTTGAATATAACTTCCTCCTAGAGATGTTCCGATACCCTTTTTCCCTTCCCGATACCGATTCCGATACCTGGACTCAGGGTATCGGCCGATACCGAGTACTGATCCGATACCTGAGTGTGTCTCTATAGGCTACAGCTGCAATTCATACTAGCCCTGTATGAATTGATAGAATTATTTTATGGTGTGCTTCAGACTTATCCCTTAATAAAACATGAACAAATACATATAGTGAACTATTTATGAGTATTTTTATTATCTGACATACATTTTACAGCAATATATATTTATTTTTTTCTTAAGTGAAAAAGAACTTAAAATGCAGCCACACATGTCATACTTTAAACTGAAAAAGGTATTTTAGATTTATAATATAACTGTATAAAAAAGTGCAACAAATAAATCTAGGAATCTAAAAAATGATATATGAATAATATAAGAAAATAACCTCTTTATAACTTAAAGTCCAGAAACAATTTTGTTAAATACACGGCATTTCGGTTTTGACAGCGGCTGGTCATCCAGAACAAAAAACTTGATAATTTTGTCGGTTATATTTATCGCTCGTTGGCTGTCTTTTGAAAACCTTTCTCTTCGTTTGAATGAAGCTTCCAGAGATTGTTGATTCTGGCGCGGCTCATCCTCTTCTGCCCTTGCCATCGTGTTCTGCGGGGTGACGTGTCTTCAAATGCTTTATTAAGTGTTGAAGCTGCTAATCTTGTGCCACCCCTCGAAATTGCAGTATGATATATGAGACATGTCGCCATTTTACTGGCTGGTTGGTCCAGTCTTAAAGGTGCCTTGTGTAAAAAAAACAATTCAAAATCCACATATTCCATACCAGATGGGGGCAGTATACCTCCAGAAAGTTGGCCTACTCTAGTCTGTTTTTTAGTTTCGGGTTGTTAATCTTCTAAAACCGTCAAATCGTCCGCTTTGTCCCACCAAAGCCTATTTTGATCGGTGAGTGATGTAGAATAGAATGACTGCTGCGCTTGACAGGGCGCATAACGAGCAGAGAGAGAGATAGCGCCCCGGCCGCGCGCGCGCACTCTCACGTCTTCAAACAACACGAGCGCTGTCCTCCTGCTCTCTCTCTCCCTCGCGCATATTAATCAAATCAATTGACACGATCGTAAGATCGCAGTTCATTTGGAGATTTTTAGAGATTAGAGACTCAATGAACAACATCTCAACACTAAATTATAAAGGCCGGTCTCATATAGACACGATTGACATCAGGTTCAAGTACGCCCACAAGCCGTGCGAGTTATTCGTGTATTGGAGTTTGGCTGGTGGTTATGTATGTTGCCCGCATACCGCCTCCCATGGCCGAAACTGGTATTATGACACCGGCCGGGCCGCGATATTTTTTTTCACAGGATGGTAGGGGAAGACTCATGAATATTCATTAGGGAACTCATCCCTGATTGGTCTGATGACCTACCCCTAACCCCGCCCCTAAACCTACCCGTCACTGGGGGTCTGATGACTTACCCCTAACCCCGCCCCTAAACCTACCCGTCACTGGGGTTAAGACCAATCAGGGATGAGTTCCCTAATGAATATTCATGAGTCTTCCCCTACCATCCTGTGAAAAAAAATATCGCGGCCGGGCCGGGGCTAGTAATTTAGCATGCTAATTCAGGTTTATATCTCGGCAGCACTATAACTTGTCATTTTTTTAATGACATCATTGCATTTATTTCTTCTCATTCTTTTGATACGTGTAGCTCATTTGTTGGATATTTTTACCTCAATTTTTACATATGGCACCTTTAAATACTGCCAAACAGCGGACATACTGCTAGCGCGCGCTTTCTTCTTCGCTGCTCTAAACAGTGGTTGTTTGTGGCAACAGTACAACTTCCTGTGTCGCCACAAGCAACCACTGTTTAGAGCAGCGAAAAAGAATTGATCTCCGATTTGCAGCGTTAAGCAAAGCTATTGTTTAAGAAAAGGGTATCGGATCGGTACATGGGTAGAAGTACTCGCAGATACCGATGCCAGAATTTTTATTGGTATCGGCGGCATTTCCGATACTAGTATCGGAATCGGAACAACTCTACTTCCTCCCATAATCTTAAACACAGTAGGCTTGTTAGGAAAAAGGTGTATATGAAAAGCCCATTTTTAGTCTATTAGTGAGCTGACAAGTTGAATCGGGTGTGTTTGATTAGGGATGCATACAAATGTGCAGAGTTGGCGGGACTCCAGGATCCGAGTTAGGAACCACTGTACTAGTAGACCAATCACGCGCCCAGTACTGCTCCACACACAACAAGAGAAACAACAAAACATGCAGAGAGCTCCTCCCAGAGGTCTTGCAGTTGCCTTTAAACTCCAGGTGCCTTGCCTTACCAGTCACCAGCAAAGATTAATTAACTTCAGGTCCAGTTCTGAGAAGCGGGTGAGACAGGACAAGGAAGGAGGGGGAACAAACAGCAGCAACCACAATGCAGCACTATGTAAAAGTTAAGCTCAAATGACAGCATTTGTGGCATAAAGTTAATTATAACTCTGTCAAATTAATTTCCATACTTTCTTCAGTGATCTACTGATATCATCTGCACATTTTCTGTTTTCAAATATTTTAGGTAATTGTAAGTATGAACAATCTTTACTGATTTTTATAAAAGTGAACATAGTCATTACTTTTATATTGTTATTAATATTTTAAGACGAACACTTACTGGACTGAAGCAAGGTTAGGTTTACTTGATAATCCATATTATTTTTTTTTTGAAATAAAAGTATCAGATATGATACATCAAGCTTTTGAAGAAAATTTGGGTAACACTTTACAATAAGGTTCATTAGTTAACATTAGTTAACTACCTTAGTTAACATGAACTAAGAATGAACAATACTTCTACAGCATTTATTAATATTAGTTCATATTAATTTCAACATTTACTAATACATTATTAAAATCAAAGGTTGTATTTGTTAACATTAGTTAATGCACTGTGAACTAACATGAACACACAATGAACAGCTGTATTTTATTAACTAATGTTAACAAAGATTAATAAATACTGTAACAAAAGTATTGCTCATGGTTAGTTCATATTAGTTAATACATTAACTAAAGTTAACTAATGAACCTTATTGTAAAGTGTTACCAAAATTTGTGTTCATCTCTCAATCATCATTGCATTTCATTTTATGTTTTTCCACCACAATAAAAACTACTAAAAACTAAGCATTTAAAATTCATCTTACTAAGACATATTTGGAGATATAGTGACAATTGATGTTTATATGCATTTTTGTAAATAGTCTGCTATACTGTTATAAAGATCTCATTGATATACAGCACAGCTATCACAATTTTATCAGAATTTAAAATGTTTTCAGCCATATAAATATATAGCTGCACCACTAAATTGTGTATTTTTGATTCATCTGAGCCTCTGAACAAGTAATACATGTGTTTCCTCGAATATGAGTTCCATATTCTGCACATGCAATGTCTTTATGACTATGACTTTGCTAAAAATGGTGTTGTAAAAAAGAAGCCTACAGACAGTCCAGCACATTCCTTGTGTCAGTTTGTGCCTCTAGTGGTCATATGAACCTACCGTAGTGTAGACACACAACAGCTATCTCTTGACACATAGGTCTTAACAATTTGAGTGATTCAGATCTTCTGAGTGTGAATGGTTTTAAATGCTACATTTTTGCCCATCAGGGTGACGGCACTGGCATCTGCAGTATCTACAGGGGACCATTTGCAGATGAGAACTTCAGAATGAAACACTCTGGCCCAGGACTCCTGTCACTGGTAAAGCTATACACACTGGCCCTGTAAAGAAACTCATCCTGTACCTTTACAGTATGCTTTATGCCAGCATTATCAGCAGTGTTAGATTAACAGTGCTTAAATTCTGTTTAAGTTGACTCTCGGTCAGAGTGCTGGTGTAACGTCAGTGTCCCAAAATCTGATTTTCCATTTCACTCCAAATCTAATGCATGAAAAAACTCAAAAAAGGAGGGTTATTAGATTTTTTTCCGATATACTTTATTTTAAGGTGTCCTTGTTACATTGTAATTATATATTTAAGTACTGAGTAATATTAATTAACAGCATGTTCTACTTACTATAGGGTTTGGTTTAAGGTTAGTTGCATGTAATAATGCATCATTTTCTGTTATTACTACAGTAAGTACATGTAACGTAACAAGGACACTGTAAAATAAAGTGTTACCTTTTTTTTCTTTTGGTTTTAGGTTAAACATGACCCGGACATAATCTTGACCAATTTTGAGGGATTCGCCAAATAAGGCTGCAGAAATGCTTCAAACAGAACACTATATAGACATATACAGTATAATATAAAGCCAGTTTAATGTTTAATATAACTTTAGAATTTGTTTCTCATTTTCCTGACAAAGTGACTGACGACCTTTAGCACCTGAGAAGTCAGGCAAACTTACAGTACAAATATACATTGATATTATAGGATAAACACACTCCATCTACCCATCAGATTCTTTATTCTGTGCTGTTTCCAAACGAGACGTTAATGTTTGTTTTTCCCCGATAGGCCAACAGTGGACCAGGAACAAATGGCTGTCAGTTTTTTATTACCTGCACAAAGTGTGACTGGTTGGATGGGAAGCATGTAGTATTTGGTAAGTCTGACAAGTCCTGTGTTGATTCTGTCCTGAGAGAACTCAATCACTGGTTACACCATTAACTGCTTTGGGTTTTCCTTACAGGAAAAGTGGTGGATGGTTTGCTCGTCATGAGGAAAATTGAGGTGAGACGATATTTTATAAGTTTTAAGTTGATTAATTTCAAGTTTCATAATCCTTTCAAAGGAATGTATTAGTGATCCTGTTGAAGATTTATAAGTTAACCTGTGTGGCAAGAGAATGAAGAAATGGGATATGTCAGTACTTAATTGGTTTCTTTGAGTGTTTAACCAATAGAAAAGAAATCTGGAAATATTCCTGAAAATATTCACTTAAATGCAGCCGGCTGACTCTTAAAATAAAATGATAATAATGAAACTACATCTATAGTCAGATAAATAGATCTGGGACCTGAGTGCTTTTTGTGACATTAATCGTATTTCTCCTTAATTCTCCATTACAGAATGTACCAACAGGACCCAACAACAAGCCCAAGCTGCCCATTGTCGTTGCCCAGTGTGGAGAAATGTGATATGTGATATATTTTGTACTGTTACACATCAGCAAAGACACATGACCTTTGCTTTAAAGTAAATAGACAAGCCATTTTGGATGACTTACCATTCATGATCTCCATTTGCAAATCACATCCTTTTGAAAATTTTGTAGTAATTTTGTGGGATTAACTGATTATTTGTGAAAAATTATTGGTTCAACAAGGTTGTTTTATTTTGTACAATGTTAATTACAGCAGAAGTGAAGGTTTGAAGTCGTCAATGATCCAAAACCGATTTCATGATTAGCTCATGTCACTTGCAAATGTCCATAAAAGACGAACTTGACATTCAAGATAGAAACAAACATGTATTCTTTATACATTCTGAAGAACAAGGCTTTTTATTGTTGATCAGCCTTTTAAAAGGGCCTTGTTAACCCTTGTTGAGGTTTTTTTGTATCCTTCAATAAATTTTGACCCATGTTTTTTTTTAAAGCTTGGAACATTCTTTTTAATTTCAAATTCAGAGAGAATCGAAATCAGGACATTTCCTGAATCACAAAGGGCTTTTCGAGTTTGATACTAAACCAACACCTTAAAGGGCACGCCACTCAATGCAAATTCCTTATGAGTGTACTCCCTTTGTCTTTTTATTGTTACTTACCCTAACCCACATCCTAACCCAGAAACCCCTTCCCCCATCTCTTGGACCGTGTCCCACTCAGACAAAAGGGCTCTTTCAGCTGAAGTGCAGGAAGAGTTTGGGCTCGGTGGGAGGCTTCTAGGGTCAATGTTAAAGCCTGTCTTTGTGTGGGACAACAGGGCCGAGCCATTAACAATAAAATCACACTTCAACCAGGTCTCCTCAACAGTGCCAAAAACATATTTACATGACAAAGGGGAAGGGGGTAGTTTGGGTCTGTCTCACAACTAGCCAGGGTCTGTCTCATCTATGGTCGTTGAGTGCTCCCTTTATAATGTTGTGGGAGAAGTCAATGATGGGATTTATCTAAAAAACACATTATCCTTGCATTGAAACCATTCCTGTTCCGAATCTCTCACTGATGAATAAAGCCTGCTTTATTTTTGTTGTGTATACCTTGTAGGTTTGGTGTCTGTTAAATATTTTGTTCGTGAGATGAATGCTGGAGAGAATGTTTTGACAGTATAAAATGAAGACATTTAGATATAAATGGGATTTTAATAATATACAGCTTTGTATTTACATATACACCAATTGCCAAAATTATTATACCAAACAAATAGAAAGAAAAGAAATATGCAATATAGCAATAACAATAAAATAGTATTGCAATAGGGTGCTAAGTGATTAATACAATAGGATATAAATGAAATATACACTTAAAATAATATATATTATTTTATGTATATTTATCAACTTTGTACTTAATTCAATTCAAAAGAGCTTTATTGGCATGACTTAGGGAATCTATTTTTTAAATAGCTATTTAAAAATAGCTGAAATGTACATTATCGTTCATGTTCTGGTCAGTATTTTCTTTATGTTTGGGTTTTACACATACGGTATATATATATATATATATGCCAGAATGTCTGGAAGGTGAAATGGGGTCTTGAATTCTGGGCGGTGGTAAAAAAAATGATAACCAATCATGGCAAAGCTTAATGTTATTTCCATTTGATTGACAGTAATTGTATCCAATACGCATCAGTGAAATAATTGACGTTGACAAATCACAAGTTAACCGACCAATTGGATTGAGGAATGGGTGGAGAGATGTGACAGAATATCGTCCGGCATCTTTACTCAGTCCGTCCAGTTCGATCGGCAACGGGAGCGGAGAAAGGAAAGCGGAGAGCCCGAAGGCAGCAGCCCCCACCACCGCCGGCCCAGGTTACCATCTAGCACCGGGAAAAAACACACTAGAGAGCCACCGCCGGCTTTAACAACAAGAAAACAACATGAGCAGCGAGGCCGAAACACAGCAGCAGCCGCCGCAGCCTGCCGCCGACGTGGAGAGCCCGTCCAGCCCGGCAGCCGCAGCTACCGCGGGGGATAAGAAGGTCATCGGTAAGCCTTAGCCCATTGGCCTACGGTTTTCGTTCCTTCAAAATAATATATTTTCTTTCACGGTCGACGTTTCAAGGTTTGATTAACGTTACACTTTTACGTTAACGGATTTCTCAGTTAGGGAAAGCGTGTGGCCTCACCGAGACTGTGTGGTCTGGTGTCGTTATTCAGTATCAAACTTACTAGTATTGCTGTATACCCGTGGCCACCTGTCTAGAGTTTTTGTTATGGAGTTGTCAGCCTCAGTCTATTTCATACATAATATTTTTTAAATAGGTTAAACTTTAGATGTTAAACGGTCTCAGTAAGTTTAAATGTTCGCTCGCGTGCCGCGTTCCAACACATCCGCGTGTGAATCGATAACCGCCATGACGCGTGTGCTCGAGCCCGCGGCCTACTAAATTGAACAAGAGTCTCAACGCGGTTCTCGCTTTATAGAACTAACTTTACTATCGCGATAGAGCCACTATCATGATTATTTACTACACCACAAACCCCCAATACGATTATATTGTTGTAAGTATACGTATTTGTTTACTAATAAAGACTGTCCATGAAACGGACCCTTGAGCTTGGCCTTGAGCGTGACATGATGACCCAGATCATTTTGAGCTATTCGTATAAAACTCATACGAGTCTAATTGTCGCGGTCAGTGCGAACCGCGTCGGATTTTAAACCTAATGGATTAGTTTGAGGGTTGGATTCTTGGGTAAGCGAATGTAAGCCAGGTTAAGTGCTCGCTTTCTTTCCCTTTGTTCGTGCGTGTGGTGCGTTTGACGCGTCGTGCATACGTGTCCTCATCTCTATTAACACCATCAACGCCGTCCCCGGAAGATCCAATCATCAGACAGGCGATTTATTGTATAGATTACAAAACGATAGTACTGTGGATCGGGATAATCTATATCAGTCTCGCAACACCAGATATAAAATGTCCGCCGTGGTGTTTGGATGATGGACGCTTCTTTTGTCTGATCTGCTGATACAAACCCAGAGCGCTTCGGACGTTTAACTTGAAACGCTAATCGCCGGTCAAATCTAGATCTAAACATAAAGATGTGGTCTCGTAGTGTCTATCGTGTCCTGTAGTGAGGATGGAGGATCAGGGCTGTTTGGCTTCAATCCGGCCACATGTCTGAGGCTAATGTGCTAACTGCAGTTAGCATCTCAACATCATCACTTCCTACTTCAACAACACATTGGGCAAATGAATGTGCTTATTAATATACTGCAGTGTAAACCGAATCTATTGAACCAACACCTGTTCTTCTTTCACACAAAGATGTTTAAAGACCATTTAAAAAAAAAAGTTGTCTTGTAACAGTTTTGTGAGAATTTTTTGTTTGCACATTTTCTGTTTTTTTTTTTTTTTTTTTTTTTTTTTTGTAATTCCTATCACCATCAGTGGTGATTTCTTATTACTGTAATTAAGGGACTTTCTTTGGTAATGGATTTTTGGAATGATTGTCAGGGAAATGTGAAGCAAAACCAACAGGTTCATAACAAAGAGATTTTTTTATGCATTGCAAAATTTTCATTTATAAGACTTATAGAGCTAGTTTATAATCTCACAATCCTTCTTTCCAGTCTCATGCAACATTTTTTCGCCTCAGCAATTTTTCCTTCTTTTAACTGCCACAGTCCCCCAGATATGAATATCCTTGTGCAAAGGACTCCCATCCACAAATCTAAAAGGCAGCCATTTATTTTAATTTATAAGGACACAATTTACACCGTGAAAAACAATATAAATGTGTAAAATATATTTGGAAACTACTTTTCTATTATGTTTGCATTGCATTTTTTTTCTACTCAATATAGTACTGTACTGTTAGATGTTTAATTTATTGTATTTTTACACTGTCTCCCTTGCGGTTCCCCGGGGGTGCCCCGACCCCAGATTGAAAACCCCATGTTTTAAACCATTTGTAATGTCTTTATTTCTTCTTTCTCTTAATTCTGTAATTGGCATGTCAGTTATCATAACTTGAATAAGATGTTAATAATGTGTACTCTGAGGGTCAGAGCCTTTCATGGTGATGGAGGTTCTTCTGATAAGAGCAGCTGCTTTTGCATCAGTCTATTAAAAGCACCACAGTTGGAGGTTATAAATAGGACACAAAATGAACTCCACTCACAAAGAGTTGCGTTTAAATGGCTTTGCTAGTTTAATGCATCTTTTTCGGTCAACAGTTGTAATTTGATTCTTGAAAATACTGTTTTTTTTTTTTTTTTTTTTTTTTTTTTTTATACACATGTTGGATCTATCTAAACAATCTGTCTGTGGTTTTCTTTTCTCTTTGTAGCAACAAAAGTCCTGGGGACAGTTAAATGGTTCAATGTAAGGAACGGCTACGGTTTCATCAACAGGTAAATAACATTCAGCCTCTAAAGACTCTCTCTAATATAATATGTGGGTCAGGGAACATCCACAATCCTATTACAACGTTTATGTGCTTATAAAGCTAGACCTGACTTGCACGCTAGTATTTATTCAAATATTTAACTTGCTCTTCGACTCTGCATGCTTGTTTATTCTCCATCTGTCCTCAATTATTAACATTTCATTCTTAACTTTCACAGGAATGACACCAAGGAAGATGTCTTTGTCCACCAGGTAATTATTTGCTCTGATTGTCACCATATTGACATACCAACTTGGTTTTTGGGGGATGATTTGTTTTCTGATTGCGTTTGCTTTGTATCCAGACCGCCATTAAGAAGAACAATCCAAGGAAATATCTTCGTAGCGTTGGGGATGGAGAGACTGTGGAGTTTGACGTCGTAGAAGGGGAGAAGGTGAGCTTGAGTTTTCTTTGTTGATTTAGAGTTTCACCGAAATACTCAACTTTATAGTTCCTCACATAACATTAGGGTTGGGAATTGAATCAATTCAGTTTAAAATGATAACAAATAAAATGTTTTCTTGAAATTCATTAAAGGGACAGTTCACCCAAAAATGAAAATTCTGTCATTAATTACTCGCCATTATGTCATTCCAAACCTGTAAGACTCGTTCATCTTTGGAACACAAATCAGGATCTTTTTGATGAAATCTGAGTGATTTCTGTCCTTCCATTGACAGTCCACACAACTTCCACTTTGATGCTTCAAAAGGTTCATACAGGGATTGTAAAACTAATCCATATGAATTGAGCAGGGTAGTCCAAAATTTTCTGAAGAGACACAATCACTTTATATGATGAACAGATTGAAGTTAGGCTTTTATTACATATTCATCAACTCACACATCAGTTGTGGATAATGGAAGTTGATGTGTGAGAACCAATAAGGATTATTTTCGTGTTGGACTAAACCGCTCGATACATATGGATTGGTTTTACAATCTCTTTATGGACTTTTTGTGGAAGTTGCGTGGACTGATGAAATCTGAGAGCTTTCTGTCGTTCCACTGACAAAGATCTTCATTTGTGT